AGTGGTTCCGCAGTGTAAAGGTTTTGAAGTTAAAATCCAAGGTCCAGTGAAGAACAAGGAGGGAGCTGTCATAGGAGTGACGGAACATTGGGAGATCAACGATGTGTCCGGAGCTAAAATTCAATGTCTTAGACATCGAGCTGTCGGTTGTTCAATGATATGTAACGAGCGCGAGTCCAAGTGTCGAAATTGTGAAAATATTCGCAGTCATTGTCACAGGAGATTGAATAATGTAGAATGCAGTTCAGACGAAAAACAAGTRAAAAAGAAGAGACTTTCGTATATGAGCCAAGAGGAGTTAACAAGCAGACTCCAGGCAGAGCAGACACGTGCAAAGAATGCAGAAAGGAAAGCAGAAAGAGCGAAAGACAGGAAAAAAGAAATCGAAGAAGAAATGGAGCAATTTACTGAAGACGATCATAATGATTTCAAGGACATGTTTGAAAGACTGGAAGGGAATAACATTCCAGAAGAAATGAGAATGTTCTGGGAAGCACAGAAAGAAGTTCTAGAAAAAACAGATGCAAGAGGAAATAGATGGCACTCGAAGTAAGTGATGCTATATATTTAGTATGCAACGTATAGTCTAGATACTTCAGAATATTAACATTTTGTGTTTTAGCAACTTTTGCATATACATGTACATCAGCCTGAGGGCAAGACGCCCACCCATATGTAATATATTCTCTCTATGCCATTATAACAAAGCTATTTTTTTAGGATTATAAGCCTTYGCCTTTCTGTGTGGACCAGAAGTCCTGATGCATATCAGCAATAATTCAATGAAAGCTCTGTTTACATGTTTACTACAGAATAGGGACATTTTGAGGCATAGAAGCTGTATATACAATGCTCATCGGATTACTTAAATATTTTTTTTGAATAAGTAGAAAATAAATATTATAAAATTCACTAAAATTTGGAAATGCAGTGATGCTTTAGATTGACATGTACTACATCCAAGACACTAGTAGTAGTAATTCTATCCCAATATACAATTAACAAAAAATGTTTTCTTTTTACAGGATTATAAGCCTTTGTCTTTCTGTGTGGACCAGGAGCCCTGATGCATATAAGCAATTACAAGAAAGTGGTATGTTCAAACTGCCATCAGGAAGGTTGTTGTCATTGTACAAGAACTCAGTGAGACAGAGTGCAGGACTGAATGATGATGTGTTGGATTGGCTTCTCAAAGAGGCTGATAAGAGTAATCTTGATGAGTTTGGTAGAGAAGGTGGTCTGATATTGGATGAAATGTCTATTCAGGTTAGTGGGTGTACTATATTCAGAATATGAAAGTTACTGTTATTATCATATTACAGTATAATGTTATTACTACTTATATTTATAAATATAATTTGTATTCTTTATCTGCATTTTACATAGGAAGATCTACAGATAAAAAGTGAAAATGGGGTGAAAAGATTAGTAGGACTTGTGGATTTAGGAAAAGAGCATAACTCAATGAAAGCTCTTTCCACAGGTACAATGAAAATGAGGAATTTACCACCTAAATGTATATTATAATTGACATAATTACTGTTGAAATTTTTTAGGAGAAGAAAAAGCAGAATTGGCAACACATGTTTGTCAGTTTGTATTTCTAGGTATGACAGGTTTTCGTTTTCCCTTTGCACACTGGCCAACAAAAGAGGTAGACAGTGCAACACTGTATATTCTCTTTTGGAAGGCTGTGTCAAAGCTGTTGTTGAGAGGATTTAAGATTCTTTACTGTTGTTGTGATGGTGGTGAAGCAAACCGTGGCTTCATCAACATTCACTTTGATGGGAAAGATCCAGTAGAGAAGAAGTTTACCATTCGAAACCGATATACGAGGGAGCCTTTGATATTCATTCTGGATTTTTCAGTAAGTTCATACAATTGTTAAAGTAATGTAATATTATATTTTGCATCTCATGAACTGAATGTTCAGATTATTGTTATGAGGTCCAATTACAGTTTATTTTATTTTGTTACTGTGTTTGACTGGCACATTGATTATACTCCATTGTCTCAAAGAGCATTTCGCTATACATTTCTTTCAACAGCAT